GGATTTAAGGAATTTTGGGGGAAATCCCCTGGATTTTGGGGGTTCCTGGGGGAGTTTGGGGCATCCAAAATATCCCAAAATAAAGGATGGAAAAGGCTCCGATTTTGGGGTCTATTTGGGTTATTTTAGAGTCTCTATTTTTGTTATTTTGGGGTCTCTATTTGGGGATTTTTGAGGTTATTTTGGGGTCTCTATTTGGGTTATTTTTTGGTTATTTTGGGGTCTCTGGGTTATTTTGGGGTCTATTTGGGATATTTTTGGGGTCTCTGGGTTATTTTTGGGTTATTTGGGGGTCTCTGCATGGGTTATTTTTGGGTCTATTTGGGATATTTTTGGAGTCTCTATTTGGGTTATTTTGGGGTCTCTATTTGGGTTATTTTTTGGGCCTATTTGGGATATTTTTTGGGTCTCTATTTGGGTTATTTTTGGGGGTTTTTTGGGGTCTCTATTTGGGTTATTTTGGGGTCTCTATTTGGGTCATTTTTTGGGCCTATTTGGGATATTTTGGGGTTTTTTTGGGGTTTTTATTTGGGTTATTTTTTGCTCTATTTAGGATATTTTGGGGGTTTTATTTGGGTTATTTGGGGGTTTTTTGCTCTATTTGGGTTTTTTTGCTCTATTTAGGATATTTTTGGGGGTTTTATTTGGGTTATTTGGGATATTTTTGGGGTTTTTATTTGGGTTATTTTGGGGGTTTTATTTGGGTTATTTTGGCTCTTTTGGCGCCCTTTCAGGCCATCCAACGGCCCAACCGAACCAACCAATAGCAACTCGCCATCTTGGGGGCTCGCCCTCCGCCACCCAATCCCATCCGCGGACACAACACCCCCCTCGCTTCCACCCAATCCCAACCGCCGTTTCATCCTTCGCCTTTCCCCTCACCGCCCAATCCCCGCGTGGGATACTCACAGCGGAGCTCTCCTCCAATGAGAAGCGGCGTTGTTGGCGTGGCGGGCGGCGGCGGGGCCATGATGGCGGCGGCGCTGGCGGTGCCCGGGGCCGGGGCCGCTCCCGGGGCCGCTCCCGGGGCGGCGGCGCCGCCGGCGGGGCCCGGCCTGGCCCCGGAGGAGGAGCTGCCGCCGCTGGAGCCGGACGAGGTGCGGAGCCGCCTGGAGCACAGCGAGCGCCAGTTCCGCAACCGGCGGAAGCTCCTGATCCGCGGATTACCGGCGGACGTGAGCAACCAGGTGAGGGCGGAACCGGCAACGGGGGAAACGGGAGGGAAACGGAGCCAAAAACCCAGCCCGGATCGTCCTCCCCGGCCTTTCCCTGATTTACCTCCCAAAAAAACCGGGAATTCACCGAAAATCTCCCGGGAATTGCCCAAAAATCCACCGGGAATTCCTTAAAAAAAAAAACCCGGGAATTGCCCCAAAATCCCGCCTGGAATTGGCCAAAAATCCCACCTGAAAATTCCCAAAAATCCCCGCCGGGAATTGCCAAAAAATAAATCCCAGATAAAACCCGGAATATCAAACTAGGGAAATTCAGGATTTTTGGGAAAAACTCCCCAATTTTCCCTCCCCTGTGCCCCCTCCCCGCTCTCTTTTCCCCATTTTTCCATGGAAAATCCTGTATTTTTTGGGTTTTTTCTTTCCTTTTCCATGGAAAATCCCGGATTTTTGGGGTTTTTTTTCCATGGAAAATCTCATTTTTTGGTTTTGTTTCCACCTTTTCCATGGAAAAATCTCATTTTTTGGTTTTCTTTCCACCTTTTCCATGGAAAATCCCATTGTTTGGTTTTTCCCAGGATATCCACGAGCTGCTGAAGGATTACGAGCTCAAGTATTGCTTCGTGGACAAGCACAAGGGCACGGGTGAGGAGCAGATTCCAAAGAAATCCTGGAAAATCCCGGAAAAGGGAACAGCCCGGGATCTTTTCCCATTCCAAACCCC